GAAGAGTTACCCTGTATATTACAAACTTGATCTTCCCTATGTTGTTCCATTTTATGTGATGGAATTGGCCGATTCTTGTGAAAATCCATAACGCATTCATGTTAATATTTCATTGTGAGACTTTCACCGAAGTTTCACAAAGCCGCAATACGTGTTTCACTATGAACACGTTCAAAGAAGCTATTATATAGTGAAACACGTGTTATGGTTTTGCTGCTCAGTGAAAATCTTACAATAGTTACTTGAATATGTTGTGAATGAATGACATAAGTAGATATAACTCATTCGTGACATAGATCGTAATTTTATGAATGAAATGACTCCTTCATCTTGTCAAGTTATTCAGATTGATGCTCATATTCAAATCACTGTTGAAGAAGCTACTGTGTTAGCGAAACATGTGATATATTTCTCAAATAAAGTTTGTGGAGATCAAATCGTAAGGTGTAGTTTATGAAAAAATGATTCTTTTAGCTAGGATTTAATCAAATACGCGAATGAATGCCATTACGTACCTACTGTCATCGATGACATGAGTAGATTGAACTCATTCCGTGACATGAAGTCGTAATTTCATGAATCAATTGTGTGTTTTTTTTATAATATTATTTAGATTGGTACTGAAGAGCCCTAAGACAAGTGTTTCTCGGCGAAACATCGGATGTCTACCAGTGACGATTGTTTGGAGTACAAACTGAATAGGAAAACGTTATTTTTGTATAATTCAATGTTCATATGAAAGTATTTGTTTTGAAAGTTTTTTTTTGTGAAATTCAATGTTTTAAGAAAGAAGTTGTTTCGAAAGAGTTTTTTTTGAGTTTGCGTCTGAGTTACTTTTTTGCATGATCTACACATCTTTGTAAAGAATTTATTCTGAAATCAATTGCTCCCTTTTTTCTTTGGAAGATTTCCACATTTTTGTGTTTGATAAACACCGTTCTCCAAATGTAAGGCAAAAAACAGTGAAGTTATAGGTGTACTGAGTTGAACCTCAAAACAATCAGCAGCCACAGTCCGTCGCGTATTTCTGATATGTACCGCTTTTGGTGGAATTAAATGTGCCAGGTCACTTGAAACTTCCCGTGAAAATATCTATAGAAGAGAAACAAGTCTCCAACCTTTCTTCGATGTTCCAGACTATCAAGGTTGCAAGTGATGTTAGCGTCTCCAATGAGTCGGATGGTTCTTTTCTGGATGGAATCCAGAGGGGCGGAGCTCCATACATGAGAAAAATACTCCAAAGAAGGTCTGATCTGAGCTTTATAAAGCATCAGAGGTTGCTGAGGTGTGTACAGTTTTCGGTTTCGGAACAGTGTTCCAAGCATTTGAGAAGCAACCTTTGCAATTCCAACGACATGATTGTGTCACGACATATTGGTGTTCATTTCAACCCCCAACAAACTTATCGAAGCAGATAGTGGAATAGTCTGACCTGACATTATTATATCCGGTTCGAAAACATTTATCTTTTTGGAGAAAACCTATGCCTGAGTTTTCGTGGCATTGAAGTGAACCTGTTTGCTTTCACCCCGATTCAAAATTACTTCTAGATCCTCATTAAGATATTGAATCTCCTGCTGCCGGTAAAGATGTACATCCGCAGCAGAAGTCCTGGAATCCAAATGTATTAACGAGACAAGTGTGATGTCGTCAGCAAAGCAATATATTGGATTCTTGTTTTTTTTCAATAAGTCGTCAATATACAATAAAAAGACGGTTGGAGACAATATTTATCCTTGGGGAACACCAGCGTTGATGGTGAAAGTATTCATGAGATATCCATCGACGGCCACTTGCAGGGAACGTTCTTTCAGGAAGGGGAAGAGCCATTCACAAAAATGATTCGACAAGCCATAGCATCGAAGTTTGGCCAGCAAATCCTCATGCCACACACGCTCAAACGCCTTAGAAATATCAAGCGCAACAGTCCTTGACTCCATGTTTCTCGATTGCGTTATTTCAAATATGGGTGACTTACGATAGAAGGTCGCCTGTTGACTTTCGTTTCCGAAATCCATATTGATAATCGCTCAAGATGTTGAAACCTTCCAAATATTTGAGGATATGATGGTTCACGGGTTTGATATCACTGATTTTTTATATCACTGATAGTCTATAGTTATTTGGGAGATTTTCCTTGGCCTTTTTGGGAATAGCTTGAACGCGAGCAATCTTCCAACAAGTGGAAAAAACCCCTTTCTTGTAAGACAGGTCGAAATGTCTGCAAAATACTGGTGCGAGTTCATTTGCCCACTTTTTACGTAAGATGGCGGGCACTTCATCAGGGCCAGACGCCTTGTTGATATTGAGCTGTTTCAAAATTCGCCTCACAAGACGCTGTCGAAAAGTAATTTTCGGCATTGTAGATTGTAGTGTGGAAATAGTGGGTGTAGGTGGTGCCTTTCCCAGAAAATCGACTGTGGACTGGGACGCAAATTGTTCAGCTAGTAGACTTGCTTTGCAATTGAACCATCCGGTTGTGTGGTGGAATTGTGGATTTTGTAAAGTTCTGATACACAGCTTTAGCTACCGGCCAGAAGGATCTTGATCCGTTTGAATTGGCAAGCAGTTTATCCCTAATTCTCTGATTGTGAAGTTCTTTGCTTTCATTCATCCTAAGTTTGCAGCTGTTGCGAGCATTAACAAACCTAGTTCGGTTTTCGGCACTGGAATTTTTTGTCAATTGTCGGTAGGCAAAATTTTTGGAGGCGACAGCTTGCTCGAAATTTTTGTTGAATCAAGGATTCCCGTTAGAAAGTCGTTTCATTGAAGAAGGAATATATGCATTCAAAGATGCCATCACCCTGGTTAAAAGAGCTCGTATTCAAAAAAAAAATAATAATCCACAGGGGTCAACAACATTTTTGTAACGATGCCGATATTTTGATGAAATGATAAATTGGATCTTCACACTTTACACACTCGACACTGCACTATGTTGAAATCCGCCATAAATACCCGTTTTTAGTAAATAATAATACCTGACATACCTACTTATATTACACTATTTTATATTTTCGACATTTTGCACTATGTTAAAATTTGTCACAGTGTCGTTTTCAGAAAATTATAATACGCTATTTTGGCAATAATGCCGACATTTTGATGAACTTGAAAATCGAAATCTTCTATTACTTCATATACTCAACATTTTGCATCATGTGAGAATCTGTCGCAGATTCTTTTTTGGGAAAAAAATCATAGAGGTGAAAGCCATTTTTGCAATGCCGACGATATTTTGATGAACTGAAAAATTAGAGTGTTACACTAAATGCATATATTCAACATTTTGATAAATTGATGATGATTAACACTCCTTTTCAAAATAATAATAATAATAATAATAATTTCTGCTATCATGCTGATATTATGAAATACTGAAAAAAATAGGAAGGTATACTCTTAAAAATATAATAATATGTAAGTAGGTATGAACGTTGTTTTTGTAATATTGTCGGCATTTTGAAGATTTGAAAAACACCTTTTCAATATCAAATACATTTTTACCATTTCCGCTAAAGTAAAAACTGTAAATTCATTTTGTGGTAGCACATAGCAATATTGCGAAAAAAGTATCTGTGGAATTCATCATTTTTTGGGGAATCGAACACCGGTTAAGGAATTTGTTGATAATCAAAAATACTGA